AACATCGTTGTTCATATGGTATCTGGTTTTCCTGATTACATCTCCTATACTGAGTACTTTACATTTGTCCACATTGAACTTCATCTGCTATTTTTCAGACCATTCGAAATTTTTTTTTATATCTTCCTGTAGTTTTGCGGAGTCCTCGTCAGATTTAATTACACGTCTTATTTTAGTGTCATCGGCAAATTTACTTATGTTGCTGTCAACCCCGATATCTTTGTCGTTTATGTATATAATAAATAATAATGGTCCAAGTACTGAGCCTTGCGGAACTCCACTAGTGACGTTGCTCCAATGGGATTTAGTGCAGTTAATGCTCACTCTCTGTTTCCTGTCCTGTAACCACGCCCTAACCCATTTTAGAATATCACTTTTAATACCAAGAGCCTCCACTTTTCTTATTAGTCTTTCGTGGGGGACTCTGTCGAGGGCTTTGCTAAAGTCGAGATATACCACATCATAATTGTGCCCCTCGTCCACTGATTCAAAAACTGATGAAAAGAATGTTAATAGATTAGTTAGATATGAACGCCCGCTTGTGAAGCCATGTTGGGAATCATTGATCAACTTGTGCTTCTCCAGGTGATTTCGAATAGAGTTTGAAATGATTGCTTCCAGTAATTTGCCTACAATTGATGTTAGACTGATTGGACGGTAGTTAGAGGATAGTGATCTATCTCCCTTCTTGAAAATCGATATTACATTCGCTATTCTCCAGGATTCTGGTACTACACCTGTTTTTAAGGACATGTTAAACAACTTTGCTAAAGGCATACTAAGCTCTTCCTTACATTCCTTTAATACTCTGGCAAATATCTCATCGGGACCTGGTGACTTTTTAGGCTTTGGTTTGTCTATTTGCTTACTAACATCGTTACTAGTCACTACTATCTCGCTTAATTTACTTTCTTCACTATCTCTGTATAGAGTCGGAGCCTCGGGTATCATGTTTAAATTTTCTGTGGTGAAAACTGTTGAAAAATATTTATTCAGATTATTGCTCATTTCTCCGTCGTTATCAGTTAGCTCGCCGGTATCTGACTGTATTGGTCCAAACTTTTCTCGTGTTTTAGTTTGATGCATTTGATAGAATCCCTTGGGGTTTGACTTCGCTTCCCTTGCTATCTTCAGCTAATTATTCCTCTTGGCTTTTCTTATCTCGGTCTTAACCCTACCGGTCAATACCGTATAGTAATCTCGGAGGTAAACTTATCACGATTTATTCTCCTACCTATAGCCTTCCTTTGTCCAATAATATTCTTTAAATAATTATTTATCCGTTTAGGGTCATTGTTGTTTGATCTGAGTTTTTTGTATATGTTCTGCCTTTGTGCATTAAGTAACTCATTATTTACCACTACCCCTACCTAGATGTTGTCAGTCACTACCCCTACCTACAGTAGATGTTGTCAGTCACTACCCCTACCTAGATGTTGTCAGTCACCACCCCAACCGAGATGTTGTCAGTCACTACCCCTACCTACAGTAGATGTTGTCAGTCACTACCCCTACCTAGATGTTGTCAGTCACTACCCCTACCTACAGTAGATGTTGTCAGTCACTACCCCTACCTAGATGTTGTCAGTCACTACCCCTACCTACAGTAGATGTTGTCAGTCACTACCCCTACCATGTTGTCAGTCACCACCCCTACCTAGATGTTGTCAGTCACTACCCCTACCTAGATGTTGTCAGTCACTACACCTACCTACAGTAGATGTTGTCAGTCACTACCCCTACCTACAGTAGATGTTGTCAGTCACAAACATGACATAAGCATTAAATCAGAGCTTAAACTTGCTGTACGGTATATGCGTCAGTCAGATCGTGTGTGGCAGCGTGGAGGCTTCCCTAACATAAGGTAGGGGTGACGAGGTAAGGAGTGACAGGTAGGGGATGAGGGTGGTGAATAGGGGTGGTGAGGTGAAGGTGAATGAGGTGGGGTGGTAAGATGGGGGTGATGGGGTAGGGGTGGTGGTGAGGTGGTGAGGTGGGGAGTAGTGAGGTGAGGTGGTGGTGGGTGTGGTGGGGTGGTGAGGAGGTGGAGTGAGATGGGGGTGGTGAGGTGGGGTGGTGGTGGGTGGTGGGGTGGGGTGGTGAGGTGGGGTGGTGAAGTTGGGGTGTGAGGTGGGGGTGTGGTGGGGTGGTGAGTAGGGGTGGTGGGGTGGGGTGGTGTGTGGGTGGGGTGGGGTGGTGGGGTGGGGTGGTGGGGGTGGGGATGTGGTGGGTTGGGGTGGTGGGGTGTGTGGTGGGGTGGTGTGGTGGGGTGGGTGGGTGTGGGGTGTAGGGTGGTAAGGTTGGGGTGGTGAGGTTGGGGTAGGGAGTGTGGTAGGGTAGGGTGGCGAGTTGTTTCTTTTTGTTTATTTAATTTTGTG